AGCAACACGCATAAATCTTGGTTATAACTACAAACCATAAAAGAAAGGAGAGCTGGGAGGGAAGAGGGAAGGGCGGCAAAGGCGTCCTTCTCCGGAGCACCACTTCATCTTCCTGTGGCTTCACACGCACACGAGAGGGATTAACTACAAGATCATATTTTTCAAACCAAAAATCAGTCCACACAGTCTGACAATGGGCTCAAATGCTTTAAATTGAAATTATTCTAGAACACACACATGTACATGGTTGTCCTAAGGACAGCATGACATGCAGTGGTTTTTCAAACAGGGGCCATGGGACTTTGCCCAAGTGTGCCACATGGAATATCCATCCTTCAGGTCACACTTACATTTCTAGTCCAGTGTATGCAGTATGGAGGGAGGCTAAGGAAGGAGGATCAGAAGTTTGAGGACAGCCTACCCAACTTAGCTAGAACCTGTCTCAAAACAAAAAGTAAGACTGGGTGTGAAGGCGGACACTTCTAATTCCAGCACTCAGGAGGCGCGGGCAAGTGGATCACTGTACGTCTGAGGCCAGCATGCAGCAGGCAGTTAGTTTAAAGCCATCCTGAACTGCACAACAAGACCCCATCTCAAAAATAAATACATAGGGGCTGGGATTTAGCTCAGCGGCATAAGAACCTGCCTTGCAAGCAGGCGGTCATGAGTCTGGTACCAATAAAAAATAAATAAATACATACATAAACAGAACTGGGGATGGAACTCAGGGTACAGCACCCCTGAGTATGACTCCCGGTATTCCCCCAAAAGATTTAAGATTCTTTTATGTGGAAATTCTTTCAAATAAAATGATGAAGCCATGCACATGGCACACACTTAATAGTCCTAGAACTCCAGGAAGCCATTTGTAAGTTCAAGTCCAGCCTAGGTGACTTAGTGACTTAGTAAGATCTGTCTCAAATTTTAAAATTGAGGAAGGGCTGGGGAGGTAGCTCAGGGAAAAGCCCTGGATTTAATTCCCAGTATTGCCCCTCCCCCCAAAAAAACCACAGACCATAATGGATTTCAAACAAAGGAAAAACATGTAGAACCTTTGCCCAAAGATTTGTAGACCCCATATTTTGCGATGCTAGGGCTACTGAACACTCCAAACCTACCCTTCCAGAGAAAAGGGGAAAACAACTTTTCCCTCTGTAAAGAACAATGGTGGGCTAATGAAAGACAAAACTTCCACAGTCACTGTGTAGCTTTGGAAAAAAGCACACAAACTTGAACAATTATTTCTAAGATGACAATATGTAATCCATTAACTAGTGATTTCCTACTGTTTATTTTTTTTTTTTTTGTAAATCTGTATAACTTGTACCCTTTCTCTGCTTTTTTTTTTTTTTTCTCCTTAAATAAAATTTAAAAAAAAAAAAAAGCACACAAGCGCTCAGCTCCCAAGACTCCAAAATAAAGACACTGCTCGGTTATCCATGGGGCAGGCCCTGATCACAGGAGTGACACCAAATACAAAGTATTGCTATGAAGAAGCCAGGACGCTCAACCATAAACAAAGTGAAGAACTGTTCCAAATTCCATTTAATTATCACTCCTAAGAGTTTCGATTCATCTAATAATTATTTGTAAAAGGACACCTCCAAACTCAAAAACAACCTCTTCATTTACCTGGAAGAGGAAACAACTTAAAGGGCACTGCCTAGTCTCTTCCATAAACCTTCTCAGGAAGGATGGAGGAGGAAGAGGCAGTAATTTCAAAATCAGTAAGTGGCCTAGAGATTACAGCCACCCCAAAATGGAATGAGGCTTTTCAGTGGGAGTGCTCACCAACCTTCCTCTCCGTCTCGGAATAGGCCAAGGCACAGGCGGCCTCCCGGCCAGAAGCAACATCCCTGCACCAAGGCCAGGCACTGCCAGCAAGAGGAGAGGAGCGGGCAAGGGCGAAAGCCAGCGTTTGTCCTCATTGGAAAAAGGGCTCGAGTCTCAGGCCCAGTGTCGGGGAGCCGGTCACACAATACCGTTGCTGTCCGGCACGATGCACCGTGGGCCCCATTCTCGAGGTGTTTACACTCAAGTTCCCCCTGCCAGGTTCTCAGCAGCAGCTGTGAGAGGTACCCCACTGTTAACAGTTCAAGTGCCAAAACTGTCAGGCAATTTACATCTGTCTTTTCTCTACCACTGAGCTAGTCCCAGGCCAATTTACTGTTTAAAAATAAGAACAGAAGAGAGAAAGATCACCAAGTGTTGGAGGACCACTGGACTACATAGCAAGACCTTGTCTCAAAAAACCCAGCTAAATAAATCAATAAGACCAGAGTGCAGGCATAGTGATATATGCCTCTAACTCCGGCTATTCAGGAGGCTGAGGTAGGAGGATCGAAAGTTCAAATACAGCCTCAGCAACTTAATGACTTATCTCAAACTAAAAAATTAAAAACAAGCTGGAGATGGGCCTTGGGTTGAATCCTCAGTGCCCACCCCAAACCCCCAAAAAGTACTGGGAATGCAGCTCAGTGCAAAGCCCTTTGGTTCAATTCTTAGTCCTGCAAATTAAATCCATAAAAGTGGAACCAAGTGCAGTGGCCTTATAGGCCCAGCTATTGGAGACTGAGGCAGAAGGACTGAGTGTATGACCAGCCAGGGCAACACTGTGAAGCTCTTCTCTTACCAAATAAATTAAAAAATAAAGAGGGGGCTTTGGATGATCCCTATAATATCACCTCCACTCACACTCTAACAGACATCCCTGGGTGGCAATGACAGCTACCTTCAGCAAGCCTAACTCTACACGGACATCAGTCAAGAATATGTAGCACTTTAAAATTAGGTTCATCGCATTTATTTTTCCTGAAAAAGGACAATTTCCTGAAGTCTCTAAATGGTCAGTTCCATTTCTCATGTGCCATAAAGCACATGTATGAATACAGTCTTCAGATCAATCTGATTTCCCCACAAAGCGCTTGGAATCTTACAGAACAGAACTATGTGTGTGTCATGCCTTCTGCATGCACATCCACACACTCATTCATGAGTCTGCACAAAGAAATGTACTGAGCACGTGGATGTCGGGAAGCACGCTATGGGGACATGAGCACACCAATCCACACTAAGCCTGCCCATCAGTATGGCAATGTGCTCCAACCAAACGCTGCTAAAGGCAGCTGCTGGGAAGACTGTGCCAGGCCTACGTGATGTGCTGCAGAAGGTGACTGACCACAGGTACTCCTCAGCACAAGCTCGCAGGCCTGCCGCCTGTGTTCATCATGGCATTGATGGCCTTTTGATTATCAGCTTCTGGTTAATTGGCTTAAAAACCAAAGGAAAAAACCTCAGACATCCCAGGTATAAGATGGATAAGCTTCTCCAGAAGGTCTCATCTCAAACCCTCATGGGACAGCTGGACAAAGTTCCACGGTGAGGCTATAGGAGTAAACTTCTGCATCTCGAGGGCAAAACTACTGGGACAGCTGGTCTGCAACTGCACAGCACCTTGCAAGGATCTTGTAAGTACTTTGAGCTGGGCGTGGCAGCACACACCTGTAATCTCAGCACTCTGGAGCCTGAGGCAGGGACTACAATGACTTTGAGGCCAACCTGGACTGCACACTGAATTCAAGGCCAGTCTGAACTACATAGCAAGATCCTGTCCCAAAAAAAAAAAAAAAAGAAACTCAGTGTTCTAAAAATATTAATCCTAAAAAAGCTGACAAAGTGCCAATTATCATCATCATCTTAAAAATATATCACATTATAATTTGGGGTTATTTTCATGGAAGGATGCAAGGATGAGGTCAGAAAAGAAAAAAAAAAAGGGCCTATTACAACTCCAAGTGAGAGGAAGAGGGCGACAGGAGGCTTGTCCAGTAGAGAAGCTGCTGTCACAGAGCAGGAAGCTGAAATTCGAGTTGAGCCAAAACCCATCCCCCTGCATAAAGCAGGTGAGCAACACTACTGCTGAACACTGAGTAACATGTAAACGAAACCTCATTTACTGCTTACTTCAGATAACCAAAAATCATATGACTAAAAGGAAATCTCAAAGGTTGCCTAACCCGAGTCTCATTATCCCGCCGAGACAGGAACTGAGTTACCCCACGCAGACAACTGTCCACCAGTCTAGTTTTCTTCTCTCAGTCCTGGGGAACCCTGACCCTTGCCCTGGAGTGGCCAGGTGAGCCCCTACCCCTTCTTACGGGCCAGCACCAGGCAGGGCCTCCATCTTGCCAGGGGCCAGGCCACCCACAGAAGGTGTGCGACAGGCCTGGCAGAAGCTGGGCTGTCAAGCCCTGTGCCCTGGGAAACAAAGCTCATGAAGAGACTACAAACTGGGAGAAGTAATAACTTCAACTCTAGCAAAGTTCTCTAATAATCAAAGAATGCCAAGTGAAGTCTACTGAACTTCTTAATCCCCACCTGCCTAGCACCTAGACACCACCGGGAACACTCAGTACCACACAGCCCATGCCACAAGCACGCCGGGACGGGCAGCGGGCCGGTCTCATGGCAGGAGGGCGAGGGCACAGAAAGGCCAAGAGAAGGCAGCAAGTAGTGCTCCTGCTGGGCCACAATCAACATCAGTGTGACATCTCAAGACAACCCATTTACCACTCACAACACGGGTTTCCTAATCCACAGAGGCCAGGAATGAAAATCAGCTCCTCCGTGGCTTTCCTCACAGTGGACCGCCTTCTCTTCTCCAGACTGTTCTTCTGTCTCTCTTTTTCGTTTTTTACTCAGTCCAAGCTCTCCCTCACTCTTCATTTTTCCTTTTTCAAATGGGCCACTGCTTCTTATTTTGTTTTTAACACAGAGTCTTGCTATGTGGTTCACACTAGACTTAAACTCACTGGCCAGCCCAGGCTGGCTTCAAACTCCAGCAATCCTCCTCCCTCGGCTTCCTGAGTGCTGCGATTCCAGGCGTGCGCCACCACACCCAGCCTGCCAGAGTTTTTTTGCTCATTTCATTGAATTCTCTGATTGAGACAAGAACCTGAAATCTAACACCAAAAGGAAAGATAAACAACCCAGAACCCAGTGATGGTTAACTGGCAAACCACTTTCAAAAGGAGCCACCCAGCCGAGCATGCTGGTACAGCCTTGTGATCCCAGCACTCGGGAGGCCGAGGCAACAGCACTGGTGCAAGTTCAAGGCCAGTCTGGGCTACAGAGTGACCTGAAGGCCAACCTGAATTACATGGTAAGACCTTGTTTCAAAAAACCAGAAAGGGGGGCGGCGGGGAGAAGGAGCTACCCAATAACATTTTGGCATAGCCAGCAGATTCCAATAACAAGACAAGAGCCTGTCTCAAAACCCAAAAGGAAAACATTTACATACAAGCACTACTCTGTCATAAAAAGGACACACTAGAGTTATCTGTGGAAAGATGAATGCACCTTGGGACCTTAATGTTAAGTAAATCTTAAACTTAAATATCACCTGGTTTCTCCTATTTCAGAAACACGACATATAAATAAAGTACGATATAACAGATAATGGGAAAAAAAAAGAAAAAAAGTTCTTGTAATCCAGTATGGACTATGTATCTGAAGGTATAACTCTATTTACTATAATTATCTTGTGTGTTTTATATGTTTTTTTGTCTGTTAGTTTGGTTTTAATCTATATGTATGATAATTAACTTTATAAAGACTTATAGAACAAATAAATAAATCTGATGCTGGCAGAAAAAAGGTGGAGGAGAAGAGGGGGGAAAAAAAGATGTGTATACACGCACTGATTCCCCATGCTGAATTTAAATAATCATTATGTACTACGAACATGGACTGATAAAAATGTTTTTTAAAAAAGATAATCAGACTTCCTTCCCTTCTACCCTAGTGAGGAAAGCAAAACAGTGACATGGACACCTGAACAATGGGTGTGGCAGTGTCACCACCACCCGGAGCCTCCCCAGCGCAGACGGAGTGCAGGGCCTCACATACACTGCAAAGAAACACGGCTTCCGGAGACGGCCCAGCTACCGGCTCAGGGACGGCAGGCGTGGGTCCTCGCCTTCGGCCTGCCACTCGGACTCCTTTCAATGCAGCCACCAGGCAGCTTCCCTTTAGGGATTCTGGAAAATGCGCAGCTAGGGACAAGCAGCCTCGCAGGCGGCCAGACCTAGGAGTGCTTCGTGACCCAGCGGCAGGTGTCATGAAAATCGTGCCTACGTCCCCACCCACCTCTCTCCTCCTTCTGAGTAACGAGGGGCCTTTCTGACTCCCAGCCAGGCAATTCTGCTCCAAATTACACGATTTTATGCTGCTTGCTGAAATTATATACGGTCTTGTGCTACTTGCTAATTGTTTCGTATGTACAATTGCCTTTTTTTCTTCAAATAAAACATGCGAATTACTTGAGAACAGATTGGCTTGACCCTTCAACTGCCAGCCGCCCAGCCCTCAGGCTTGGCCGAACCGGCCCCCAGCAGCAGCTCTCCCAGCCGTAGGAGTCGCTCTCCTGCAGGCAGGCTGCGCACCGTGGCGCGGCTGCGGGTGTGGGATCCTGTCCCACCGCCTCATCAGCACCCTGAGACTGTCACGCACAGCTGCCAGGCCACGGCAGCCACAGCCCCACTTCCGGCTCCTCCTGTGTCCCGGACCTGCCCCAGGAGCCAGCCTCAGCAGGCTCCTCTGCTGCCACCCTCCTGTCACCACTCCCAAGGGGAAGCTGTTCACACAAGACCATCCAGCTCAGCTGGTGCCCTCATTTAATCAGGCTGCTGCAAATGGCTAGCCAAAAGCAATAAGGACATGACTGAGAGACTGTGGGAGTTTAATAAAAAAAATTAATAAAAAAAAGGAGGGAAGGAGGAAGGGTCTACCTTTTAATAGAGCCCTAATTACCCAACTCACAGGATCAGCCCAAATGAGATGGGAGTTTATTTCAGGGTTTTTTTTAATTATTTTTTTATATATATATAAATTGCTGCTATGTGTTCTCTTTCCTCTGAGCAATTATGCAGCAAGTACGTAAAGAGGAGAAAAAATATTAATTAAATATAAGGTAATTGTAGAGTTGGCCTGGAGAGAATGAGTCTGAACTCTGGACTATCACAGGCTACCAGGGACTGAAGACTGCTCAGGGCCTCCCCGGAAAGAAAGAAATAAAAATACAACCAACCAACAGGCAGAAACACAGTACAGCAGGAGCCGTCTTGGGCAGAGACCTTAGCAGAGAAAAAGATCTGCAGGGCTCCGGGCACCCAGGGTCAGCACGCTTGCCAACCACTGGGGATCCCAAGCAGTGACCCAACCATACCCCCAAAAGGTGGGCTGGCTCCTCTTCTGCTGATCAATAAATAGTTAAATCAGTAGATCGAAACTGAAAAAGAGACTGAGGATGTGTTGGACTGAAGGGGAGCTCTGCGTTCAATTTGGACTTTGGTCTAAAGCAGTGCTTCAGCCTGATGGGGCTCAGCAGTCAACCCCAGGACCACGCAGGTCCCCAGCTGACAGACAGGCAGGGGGACGCCTTCCTGGGGCTCTCACTCCAAGGAAGAACCCAGGCAACACAAAAGGATCAAAATATGGCACCATGGAAGTGCTTGGACAGGAGCCCAGGACTGTGACAGCAGGTGGCAAGGATGACATCTCGCCCCTTCTAAAACAAGCCTACAGCACTTACGTCCTCCCACCCTCTGCCCGGGAAACACTCAGGCCGCTAAGGACCTTGATCCGCCTCGTCCCACTGCGGCCAGAAAAGTGACGGCACCAGGTGCCACCCCTAGAACTACTGAAAGAGGCTGGGACGCCCCTGTGCTGGCTGGACAGAGGAAAGGCCTGGAAGTGAAGCCTAACGCTAGCTCCCCACTTAAACTCATCTGCTCTGTGGAGGACATAATGCCCTGAAATGCCAGTAATAACCAAAGGGGGGCAGGCGATAAGGGACTCTGGCTTGGACCACCAAAGCAAAAGCACTTCGTAAAGACAATGGGTCGGTACTTAGGAGGCCTCCTCACCGACCTAACAGGCCTGCTGGCCCAGCAGCCCGCGCCACCCTGCCCGCCAGGGCTCTGGCATCTCACTCATTACCATGTCAGCAGTGAAGCTTCCCAGGAGCATCCGGGCGGATGCATTAGCTCCCAGAGGACTGGGCTCCACTCAGGAGAGGTCTCACTAATCTCTGTGTGCTGCAACAGAAGGCTAAAGTCAGACGTCACTCACGGGAAGCTGCCACATGACACCTACTTTGAATGGAGGCTGCTGCTGTCAAAATGTCGGAGCTGAAGTGTTCTGTAAACTCACATGGTACTTTACTATTAGAAAGTGATACTGCGTGTGTTGGGGACTTACCAGCGGCTCTCGCGGCACCACATTTTCACTTCCTGGAGTCGAGCCTGACTGCAAAGAAGAACAGAAACAAAAGTAAGATCACAGTGCCACCCAATGGCCATCGAAAAACCAAAGAACTGGTATTCTCAAGACACCAAAATGCCTCTTTCTTAAGACTCTCATTCTTTTTCAAAACTTCAGAACGCACTGTGGCAGATGACCCGTGAGAAGTAACCCAAGTATGAACTTGCCGGGAAACTGACTACTTCTGAACTCCTTGTCACAGGTCCTCAAGAACAACGCTGGGTTTTTATCCAGAGGACCCAAGATCAGCTGCTTAGCAGGGGGTACCAGGAACAATCACAAAATCCACAGAAATAGAGCCCAAACACAAGGCTCAGGAGTCAGCCCACCTCTTGCCACCAGCTCTGCGCTAGCGGACCAGAGGGCAGCCCAACAAAGTAGAGAACCAGATGTGTACGCAAGGGGGCGCTATTTGCCCGCACTCAAAATATTCTCTGGGCACAGCATTTGGAGCCAGGAAGGGCGCAAAGGCCACTGTCCTTCTTTTCAGCCACTGTGAAAAGCAGCACCCTCAATAGTGAAGCCAGCCAGCTTAAGTCCTTTCTGGAAGTCAGCCAATGACAGGCAGGCCAGCGGGCTCCAAACCACAACCCCTGACGGGGCTGGTCAAATACAGAGGAGACAGCCACAGTGAGGCACACCTGTCCTCCCAGCACTGCGGGTGGCTGAGGCAGGAGGGTCACAAGTTGGAACCCACTCTGAGCAACTCAGCAACTTAGTGAGAACCTGGCTCAAATTTAAAACTCACAAAGAGGACAGGGGTATAGCTCAGTGCAGAGCCCCAGTGTTGACTCCCAGAACTGCAATAAAATAAAATCAAATCAGAAATTTAGCAAGCAGCAGGGACAGAGACAGACTGAAGAATTCTATAGACCTCTACAAGAATAAAACAAGTGGTGTGAGTGGGCTATGATTAGTTCTCTGTCACCGCTGTCCAAGCCCATTGCCAATTACATGCAGATAGCATCCAGACAAGTGCAACCAACGCTCAGTCCCAGGGGCCAGCCGCGGCCTCTATGCACCTCCTATGGCTCCCAGGGCCTGTGCCAGGCCTCTGAGGAGAAAGGGCAGCTGGCATACACACACTGGCAAGGCCTGTGCAGGACAAAGGAGCCTCTCCATCCATCCAAAGTCCAGTCCCAAAGCTCCGCCAGCCCAGACCAATGTGAAACTGGAAGTGGGGGGTCATTCCCCTGAGCTTCTTTTCTTTGGGGGCGCCAGGTCCCTGCTGGCTCCCCCAGCCAGAGCTGCACTCCTTCCTGCCTTCCCCGGACTGTCACATGGCACAGCCAAGTGTCAATCCCCACCTGCCAGACGACCCATCTCAGAGCCGCTTGACTGAGCAATCAGCACAATGTCCCCAAACCACACAGTCTACAGTCCCTCCTCCCTCACCCCCAGAGCCGCCCCAGCACGACCGGCCCGTCCCTCCCAAGGAGTCTGCAGAATCAACCCTCCATTACTCTCCCTCTCCATGGCCATCGCTTTGGTCCACACTTCCAACATCGCACACCTGGACCGCTGCAGCAGCCCTCTAATCAGCTCCCCGCACCCATGCTGGCTCCCTTCCCACACCTGCCACAGTGCAGACTCTCCCCAGGGATACTCGGATTGCCTCCGCCCTTAACCTCATCCCCCCAGTAGGCAACACCATCTTCAGAACACGGAACAGGAAAAGCTCCTCAGCGTGGCCCTCAAGGCCCCGCATCTGCTCTGACTGCGTCTCAGGCTGAGGGTGGCCCACGTTCCCCAGCACCACACGGCACCTGACAGACCCCACCTTGCTTCCTCTGCCAAGAGGCCTTCAGAGTCAGCCATGGCCCAGGCTGGAAGCAGTTCTTCTCTGACAGCCACGAGGTCAAGCCTCCCTAAAACACACGTGTGCACACATAAGCACGTGCACGCACACACATGTGCATACACCCAGTATTCCTCTCCAAGAGATAAGCAGAGGGGTAGGGGTACAGCTCAGCGGTGGAGCACACGCTTGAGGCCTGAGTTTAATCCCCAGCACCAAAAGGAAGGCCGAACTGAACTGCAGTCCCATCGGTGTGGCAATCTGAGCAACGTGTCTCCCTCCTCGGATCACAAACTCCACAAGGGCACAAACCACTCATTCATCACTGTATCCTTGGGGTCCAGCACAAGGTCAGGCTCAGAGTGAACCTTCAACAGCTGTTTGTTGGACAAATGAGTGAACGAATGAGCAACAAAGACTACAACAATGGTTCTAACCCACCAGCACGTCCCGAGCGAATGACAGATTACAGCTCGTCGTCTTCCTGAGGCCTCCTTCAACACATGTGACAGACACTAACTCTGAGTGCCGGCTTAATTAGTCCTTTCTTCATTTACTTTTCACAATAAATGCACAAAAGAGTGCTACTGATAAGGAAACTAAGGCAAGGGAGATCTTGCTATGATGACTCACTTCACTTGCCTATGATGACTCAGCGAGTAACTGGTATATGGATTTAAATACCTCTAACTTAAAATAATCATGTTTTGTTTAGATGGCGTTTTCTTAAGCAACAGCCCTAATGCTACTGCATAACTGATAATGTAGATAAAATTGTGCTGGACCCCAAGGATGAACACAAGCCCTACTATTTTAGGAAGTCATTTTCTGTCTTAACCCTTTCTTCCTGGGTATAACCCATCACTACAAATCACGGTTCCCAAGGAATCAAGTCAGATCAGGAAGTGGGGGCGGCCAATGGCATGGCACTTGCCTAGCATGTATGCTAGGTTTGGTCCCAGCACTGCCAAAAAAGCAAGGAAAAGAATTAGTTCATCTCCCTGATAGTTAACATTTACTAGAGTGAGTAGTGGACAAGTTTTACACAGTCCACAGTGCCAACCAGCCAACAGAGTTTCTACTGCCCTTTGGCACATTTCAGGACTGTGAGGTAGGTAAACATGTTCAGGGTTGGTTTGTTTGGTTTGTTGTTTTGAAGACGGAGTCTTGTTATGTAGTTCAGGCTGGCCTTGAACTTGAAGCAATCCTCCTGCCTCGGCCTCCTAAGTAATAGAATTACAGGCATGTCCAGCTGTGTTCTGTTTTTAGAAACAAAGCTTAAACACTAAAACTAAAAAGAACTTCCCTCTCATTCTAAGCCTAAAAAGCCACATGAGACAGGTTCCTTATCAGTTCTCCGAGGGTCACGCCAGGCACAATAGAAGCATCTAGATGTGCCTGTCCGCCCACAGAGCTTTAAACAGCAGCACGCTCCCAACTCCTCCGCCCAGGTTTCCCAGAGCTTTCCGGGTGGGCACACAACACCAGACCCTCCACATACACATGCAGGGCCACTTACGAGGTGTGCCTTCTGACTCGTAGGCTGCCCGGCAACTGGTACTGGGAACTCTGAGAGCTTCAGGCCACGTGGAAGTGCCCCGCACTGATGACACTCCAGAGCAGTGACAGCGAACCTCTTAGAGCTTTCAACAATGCAAACAGCCAGCCGAGGGATGGGTGCCATCGGGTCACCAGCACTGCTCCATAGAAGGGCTCAGGCCAGGATGGAACTTCAGTCCCAAAGGGACCATCACTCATTTCCTGTCACAGTGCCCTTTAGAAAACTACTTCTCAAGGACCAAGCGCAAAAGAGCCTCAATTCTTACTTCTCCGACTGCATTTCTCCCGCGGGCACACGCTGCCCTGCCTGGGGGACCGCTCTCCACCTACCACGTGCTTCACGTCCCAGCCTTCCTGCAGACACGACTTCACCACCCTAGGAAGTCTGTATCTTCACACCCAGAACATCGCTGGCCATCAATTTGGGATTAATCAAAATTTTATTTAAACAATTCAAACAGAAGTGCTTGGTACATACGCAAGAACCCAAAGGAGGCAAGCAGAACCGGGCGGTGTCTGCCAGAACCTCACGTAAACGTGGCCTGCCCTCAGCATGATGCGGCCCGCAGGGCCCCGACCTCAGGCCTCCCACGGGACATCTGGAAAGCTGGAGGTGTTTCTGGATGTCTCCGGGACTCAGTACCACTGACATTTAGAGAACAAGGAGGCTAAATGTGCTACAATGCACCCAGGAAGGACTGCCTCATCCCGGGCACCCAAAGGTCTCCCTGGAGAATCCCAACTGCTCCGCTTCTCATGCAAAAGAACAGACTCCGGGCTGGAGATTTAGCTCAGCAGCATAAGCACCTGCCTTGTAAGCAGGCAGTCGTGAGTTCGATTCCTGGTACCGATAAAAAAGAAAAAGACAAAAAAAAAAAGAACAGACTCCCACCTGTCTGGGGGTCTCTCTCTATGTAGTTCAGGCTGGCCTTAAAATGGCAGCAGCCCAGCCTCAGCCTCCCAAGTGCGAGAACACAGGTGTGCGCCACCACTCCTGGCCGACTCTACCTTGACACATGATCTCCCAGATCAGTAGTGGCAAACCTGTGGCACAAGTGCCACAGCAGGCTGCCTGTTATCACTGCAAGTTCTTTTTTTTTTTTTTTCTTTTTTTTTTTGTCTTTTTGAGACAGGGTCTCCCTGTGCAGTTCAGGTTGGCCTTGAGCTTACTTTGTAGCCTAGGCTGGTCTTGAACTCGCAATGATCCTCCTGCCTCAGCCTCCCAAATGCTGGGATTACAGGCGTGAGCCACCACACCTGGCTCAAACCACTGAAAGTTCTAAAAGGTTCACCATCACTGGCTTACATGATGGGCAAAAGCTGAGCAGCTGGCTGCTTATCTGGGGCTCACCAGGCTTAGCCAAGTCCTCCGCAAACGGCCAGTCCCTGCTCAAACAGCTGCCCCCACAAACGTCCAACCCTTTAAGTGGTCAAGTAGTCCATTATCTGGCTCAAAATAGATCGCTACAAATTAAATTCCAACTTGATCCTGGATATCATCACAGAGTAGTCACTTGGAAAAAAATTTCAAAGTGGCTTAAGAGGCCCCTGCTGATGCCCACTGCAAAGGAACCAGACGGCAGGGAAGGAAGAGCACCAGAGATCAGGACTGCTGTAAACAGCAAGA